ATATATATATATATATATATATATATATATATATATATATATATATATATATATATATATATATATATATATATATATATATATATATATAGTTTATATATATATATATATATATATATATATATATATATATATATATATATATATATATATATATATATATATATATATATATATATATATATATATATATATATATATATATATATATATATATATATATCATGGGGATGGGACTATTTATGCCATGTGCAAACTATAATTCCCGCCTCCGAGTTCAAAGGTTTGGTTTGACAACAGCAGTGGCATAAGCTCTTGGTTCAAGCATGTCAGGCAAGTGTTGCCAAACGTGAAGTTCTAAATCAAAACATTCCACTGACTTAAGATATTCGCTGTTCTCATTTATTCCTCCCATAACCACTACAACATTGCCGGTTAAGACCGCTGTGTAACCACGTCGCTTATGCTTCATACATGGAAACATTTGAGAACGTCCTGTGATGACATCATACATTATTACCGCATTGAAGCACGTACTAGTGTGGGAACGACCTTCAAATACTGCGGATGTCCAGGTTTGGTCAATCCAGTTGAAACACTCGGTAGATTTATTCTTCACGACCTTCCAACCCTTCTTGTGTTCTCCTCCAACTAAGAAGATGTCTTCTACCGCATCTGAAGAACATGTTGCTTTCGAACTTTGTTTTGAATTTTGCATTTCAACTTCGAGACCTTTCATTCCTGTCATTGCATCTCGCACTGCATTCGCAACTATGTCTTTCATTTCGTTATTATGCATTTCCTCTTTTATTCCTTTTAATTCAGTTTTTATTATTCCCTTCATTCCATTTCTCATTTCCACTTTCATTCCTTTCATTTCATTTTTCATTTCTTCTTTTATCCTATTCACTTCTACCTTTATTCCAGTTTTTACTTCTTCTCTCATTTCTTTCATTTGATTTTTTATTTCTGCTTTCATGCCTTTCAATTCATTTTTTATTTCACTTTTCAGTTCCATTTTTATTCTTTCCATTTCATTTCTAATCATTCCCTTTACTTCCTGTTTCATCTCCTTCATTTCATTTCTCATTTTATTTTGACGAGCCAACATTTCATCTCTCATTTCCCTCACTTCGTTTTTTAGTTGACCACCGTGATGACATTTCAATTTCCCAAAGTCACATACTTCAGTTTCGTGGTGAAGCTTGTTGCTGGCATTCACGAGAACATTACATCCATCATTAGAACATTGCACGGGAGAGAATCCACAACTTGCAACGTGACGTTTGAGATTTTCAACTTGAACCATTTCAGGGCATCCTCTGGGGTAGAAATCACAATGAATATTCAGTCAGATATATAATCGTTCACAATCCGCGGAACTTCTTTCAGTGTATCAACACTGAGGTGTTCAAGACATGTCGGACAGAACGCGGAGTTTTCCAAATGTTTCTTGATACAGCAGGAACAATAGTGGTGTTGGTTCTTACACATAACGGGATCTTTGAGAACCAGGAAACAAATGGAGCAATGAAATCTTTGACTGACAACAGTCTCGAAGCGATTGTTTTCATATCCAAGCTCGTATTTTTCTACACTCCATTATTTCGTCGTTTTATTCACCAAAAGTTCAATTCAAAATCCTCCAGAATAAAAGCAACATAACTGCAATGATTTACACTTCATATTAGCGATGATAACAAGGAGTTTTAAGAGCAGACAGAGTTTTGTAATCCAACTTTTGTTTTGAGATAGGCTATAGAGTTGTAACTGAACTACAGGTGGCCAACCGCAAACGGTAGGTAACAAGGAGTTTAAAGGCGAGGCACTTGGGAGCGGCTGGTTTTCCAAGTTTAATGATATTCATAAATTTTTTTGATTCTTCTTGACTAACTTGTAATTGTAATTAAAAACTTCTATAGCGAATTTTCCATGATTAAATGATCAAATGCGCTTTTAATTAATGCTAATATGATACGTTTAATACGTTTAATGCTAATGATACGATTAATGCTAACGGAACTTTTACACGCTGCGATTTGTCGCGGTATACGATTATTTATATTCTGGCGTATAAAAAATTATTGCTAACGCCACGATACTTCTTTATTTAGTTTGTTGCAAACTTTGAAATGCAAGGAATTTACGCGTGCTTATTCGATTGACTGCGCCAGAATACGAATGGTAGGAAAGAAACGGCAGCGTATATAAACGTACCTTAAGAGATGCGCACTTTTATTGAAATACAGTGGCAGAAAAATAAATACTTGGAAAGCGCTAAAAGAAAAACATTTTGATGTTAAAATCTTCTCTCTTTGAAGACGACAGTAAAGACATATGAAAATTTTGTGGTGTCCAAAGGACGTTTATCCATGATTTTAGAAATCTGGAATAAAATATATATAAATGCTCCGAATGCAAAGACCAGAATGAATTTAGTTTTCACCGACTTATAAAGACCATTATTTTGCAAAACAAAAATCCATGAATTAAACAAAGAAATAAAGTATGGCCCAGCAGCAAGAACATTCATTGTATTTACGTTCTTCTAAATGAGATAGATGTTGCATTATGCGAGGACTGGAACACAGCCTTGAAAGCCCATTCAAATCAGCAGAGCTGAAAACTCACTATTGAAAAAGGAATTAATTACAATTACAAAACTACCCTCTCAATAAAAGAACTTAGTTACAGATTACAATTTGTAATGTGGATTTTAAGCTAAATATACTTCTTGCACCAGAAATAAAAACAAGTGGCGTTCAATGATCGAAATTAAGTTTTACTTCAAAAAATTGTAATCCAAACTTGGCAGATTCATGAAGAATATTGTCAATTTGGAATTCAGCATGCACTGGGATAAAATAGTCATATCACTGTTGTTATGCATTCCGATAGTTTTTCATATTTTGTTTAGTGATGGTATACAGGGTGTCTAAACGCTATTGAAATTCAATAGGCTGTCCCGCATCATCAACTTCGCTTAACAATTCAATTTTTACATAGGAGGAAAGAACAGTTATTTAGCTTTTAAATCATACCTTTTTTAAATCGTAACTATGAGAAATGGCCACATACTGGTCAAATAAAAATTTCCGGTCGAAATCACATTCTTCCACCGTTGAGAATTGAAAATACATTAATTATGCAAAGTTGATCAATCCAAAAGCAACGCGAGTGTGCTGCAAGCTATTTGTTTAATTTTCAATCATTTCATTTCTTCTTTTATCGTATGTATCTCCCCCTCATCTTTCACCTCCTCATTCGTTCGCTCCATTCCATCTTCAAATATTCCTTTCATTTTATTATCTATCATTCTTTTCATTTCATTCTTAATTTCTACTTTCATATCCCTCACTTCATTTTTCATTTCCTCTTTCATCCCTTTCATTTCCGCGTAGTTATTGTACACATTTGATATGTACTGTAGAATACTAGGTCGATGAGGGGTCGATGAGAGGTCGATGTTGGGGTAGATGTTAGGTCGATGTGTGGCATTGTTATGTAGGCACAAAAACTGTACCAAAGGTAACAGCGTCTTTGACTACTAAGTGTGTACACACGTAAAAACGCACAAGTTGTAACAAACCTGAGGAGACTTGTTGCAATTCTGTTCCAACAACATGTCAACAGGACGTGTTCGCACTGCTTGTTACCAGCTTGTTGACAAGTTGTCAACGGCTTGTTGACAACTTGCTACAAGGTTGTTGAACTCAACAGACCTGTTACAAGTTGTTCCAACAACCTCGTATCGTATCGTAAAAATTTATATCATGACGCTAGACTCATCAACATAAATTAGTTTTCATGAGGTGCGTCGTCAATTTGTATACAAAGTATTAATATTTACAAGAGAATAGGCAGAAACAAAGAAGAACTATTTACAAAAGAATAAATACAGGTGTGACCCATCCATTAACATTGGTAACAGAGTCAAAGATTAATATTTTGTTTGAAAATATGAATTGATTTGGCTTCTTTTACTTCCTGAGAAAGGCTATTCCAAAGCTTTGCCCGGCTGTAATTACAACTTTTGTTTAGGAATTCCCTGGGAGAGCTAAATCAGTATAGTTATTTCTTAAATTAATTAAATTATAATTCGCTTGCGTTAAACTACTCCCAGTCAGTGACTCTTTCAAGTTAGGAGCAGTATAATTGTTTAGAATTTTATACAGAAGAATGGACTTCCCAACCAAGAGCTTCAAGAACGACAGCAGATTCAATTTCGTAACTTGCGCCAGCAATTATTCTTGGCGGACGATTTTGAAATTTCTGAAGTTTATCAAGCAGTTGTGGGCAGCAAATGTCCCATAGCGGGAACAGTAATCAAAATAAAGTTGAATCAAGGCATTGTAAATAATTTGGAGTGAGCTTACTGGAATGAAATTTTTAGCCCTTCGCAACATTGCAATGCCAGGTTCAACGTTTTTCAATACTTTTTCGATCTGTTTATCACATTTTAGGTTTTCATCGCGTAATACGCCCAGACATTCGAAAGAGCTAGTTCTACAAAGAGGTTTGTTGTTCAAGAACACAGGATAGTCGTGAACTTTATTGGTTAGATTAGATGACAATCCTATGATCATGTACCTAGTTTTAGTAGGGTGGTGCTGTAGTGTGTTACTGGTGAGCCAATCACTGATCTATTTTAGGTCAGAACTAAATTTATCAACTGCTCATTATAATCGTTAGAGGAAGAAAATATTTGGTTATCATCCGCGTATAAACAAGGTGTAGTTTTTTTGAGTTTATCCGGTAGGTCGTTAATATGAATTAGAAATAGTAAATTAAAGGCCCTAAAAATGCTAAAATTGAAACCCGAGGGATACCACAAATAATCTTTTTGGGGGACGATTCGATGTATGTCCATTTATAGTACAAACTCGTTCACGATTCGTAAGGTAAGATTTAATTCGCCTTTATCCATATCAATTTGCGTATCAGTCGTCACACATTTGTATCAGGACACTCAGAGTCGAATTTTTAGGACGAAAACCTGCCTAATATTTGGACGGCAACGTATTTTCATTAGGATATGTATCACCTCTCGAAAATTTTACTAATAATTGGCAATATTGAGATTGGCCGATAATTTTCGCATTTGCGTTTGTCATCTGATTTGTAAATTGGTAGAACCCAGGCCATTTCCCATTCATCAACGAAAATTCCGGAATTTAATGAGATGTTAAAGATCTTAGTTATTGATGGACCTATTATGTTCGCGGATATTTTCAGGATTTTAGCTGGAATATTATCGATACCTGTCGACTTTGATGTTTTAAGATTTCGAATCACAGAGATAACTTTAGCTGTGTATATTTCGGTAACTGTGAATGTTGACTTAAATGAACGACAATGATTATTCATCAAGGTCTCCTCTGGCGAATCGTTTTCAATTTCAGAAGCAAGTTCAGTTCCAATATTGACGAAAAAATCATTAAAGGATTCCGCTATCGATCTGTTGTCAGAAACAACGTCTTCGAATATAAGCTTGCTGATACTAGTGTGAGTTTTCCATTTCTTCTCAAAAGTTTATTTGTCAAATACCAGCTCCGTCTAATGTCATTATATTGAACTAAATCATTAATATTATTACAAAAATAATTCCTCTTAGTCGGACGCATACTTGAATCCAATTTATTACGCGTCGCTCTATATTTATCGCAGTAGAATTGGGAATTAAATATGTTATTGAATGAAAAAATCCATTCAACATTGACTTTGGGGAGCGGGGGATATTTATTTATAGAAACGCCAGTCGAGGCCAATATCAGTGGGTTGTCCACAACGTTTTGGCCATGTGATTGTAGAAGAATCTTTCAGGATAAGGCGAACGCACTTTGAATGAATGAATGAACAACTTTATTTAAAGAGGGTAAAAACACATGACAGCAATATAACTGAAAAACCTGTGGCCCTCATATACAATACATACAAAGTTATTATTTCTTCTTTAAAACGTCTAAAAGCTACTTAGAGTAAATATGTAAAAGATCTTAGGATTATAAATTTATATATACAAATTATATACAGTATACAACTTGCTGATCACAATAATAATTCAAAGCGATCGATGCCCTTATAAGATTCTAAGAAGTATTTTTTAAGGGCAAACTTAAAGGAATTAACGCTAGGTTTCGTCTTAATATCCTTCGGGAGATTGTTCCATATTTTAATGCTGCTGACCGTTACAGATTTTCCTCCCTCAGTTGCATAATTATATATTTTTATTATTATTATAATTTTTATTATTATTTAAATTTATTTAAACACGGTAACCTATCAGTTTCCTGGTTTTCATAGGGCCGTGCATCTATTTACAAAAGTATACTATCTACAGACTAAAAACTAATTAATATCGTAATAACAAAATAGCATGCAATAATTGTTTTAAATCATATATATCTATAATAGTGACATAAATCATGCAAACACTCAACAATCTATGACTTGAAATATCCATTAATAGTATTTTTGAATGAGTCAATAGAGAGTTGATTGTAGTTATCCCTTATTTGCATAGGTAGTTTATTCCATGATGATGATCCACGATAAGAGAAACTATTTTTCATAAAATTCGTCTTATGTTTTTTTAAACAGAGATTTCTGTTATTACTTCGAAGGCTATAATCATTGTTGAAAGTAGCGGTGAAAAGGTTAGATAAATACTCTGGTGCGAAACTTCTAATCGCTTTAAAAGTCATCACAAGGACACACTAAATTATATTCGCCATGACGAGTTTGTCTACCATTAATTTCATTGTTTGTTTTAAATAAGTTCTTAATATACTGCGGAGCTTGGTCATGCAGGCTCTTGTAAACTAAAGTGCATTTGTTAATTTTAACTTCGTCATAAAAAGGTATCCAGTTCAGTTTATTGAAATTGGCTATTGACCTGGAGGAAGTGTAAATTCCTAAAATTACCCGAGCTGCTCTTTTTTGTAATTTAAAAATTCTAAGCAGATCATTTCGCGAGCAGCAACTCCAAATAGAACTACTTTGCGTATTGAACAAGAACTACTATAGAAGAACAAGAACTACTTTGAAAGAACTACTTAAAGAACTACTTAACAAGAACTATATTGCGTATTGAACAAGTCAATGAAGTCCGAAAAAGCTGTAAGAAAATTTGTTTTATAAAAAATCCTACTATATACATAGTCGCGGCCATTCCTGAATACATCCGGACAAAAATCGATTTGTATTCGATAAAAAAGAACCTTGGGACAGTCTTAGGTCTACTGTTGAATAAAAACATCTTCTTTAGCTCTTCATCCGGCCTTCTCCGCAGGCATCGCTAAAGGTTACCCTGGTTTTTGAGGTTTTAAACCATCTGGTACGTGTGGCCCCAAGGCCTATCAGAGAAATTCGGGGGCCCGGGACAAATTTTAATTTGGGGGGAGGTTAAATAATTTTTTCCGGACATTAAAAAAAGTCAAGTCATTATTTATATAAAAAAAACGTTTTAAATTATTTTTTAATTTTGCAAATTTTGACCACCCTCCCCTTAAGCTGGGGGCCCCGGGCATATTGATCCCCTTGCCTCTCCCACTCTGAAAGCTCTGTGTGGCCCATATGGACATGCCTAACTACCTTTGATCTATAATATTCCAGGTTGAAGTTAAAGATTGATAGTTGTTCCTTACATCTCTGGTTTTATTCAACTCATAATATTAAGTAGAATCATCGTCATTTGCAGCTAGATTTCCAGCCTCATCACTTGCAGCACTCACTGTCAACGATTGATAATTATCTTCTGTGTTCATTTTCGAAAGATCAAGCTCTTGATAAGTTGTATCAACTTCAGTTGTCTTTGGTTCAGGGTTTGACTAAGGCTTCCAACTTCTAAATTTGCGACGAGAACATAGGCAATGCAGGAAAGATGAATTCCAATGATAATCCCAGACACCAAAGATACCACATCCTCTTTGTTGGCAGCTGCATTGACTGAACAGAAATATTTAAAACTAATATAAAACACAACGCTGTTGAAACTGTAGAAAAAGTATATAGAAATAGATGCAATCTACTATGATTTTTGAGTTGTTTATTATAGGTCTCGGATCACGAAACATGCTGTTTATGTTTCTCCCAGCCTGTCCCAGTTTGAATTATACTTCCATGTGTAGTGCCGATGAATGTAGTGGTAAAACAACAACCCCCCTGCAATATCTGTACCATGCAACAAAAAACCCTTCCTTTGCTAAGTCAGGAAGGTGGCTTGTTATAGAAACTTTTGTTTTAGAAAGATAGCTGGCATCAACATATAGTTTTATTCAATTTGCTTTCGCACAGAAGTGTATATATAACTTCTGAACAAGTATACATCTTACCTGATCTAGAATTCTCGGTAGTGGAGAAATGTTGAGTACTAAGACCAGTTGTTGGATTCATTAATTGATCTAAACATAATAAAACCATGGTATTACAGTTTCACTTTCATTACAGTCGAAATTTTGAAACGAATGCAGAAACTAATGTATAATAACTAATAGAAGTAGTAAATGAGAGGTGAAAATAAGTTGCAAAAACAGTTTTTGTATCCGAAAATATTGAATCTTACCTAGGATAGATAAATAATATATCGTTGAACTATTTCCAAGTTTATTCTTTGCAATACATTTATATAACCCAGCATCACTGTACTACACACCATCTATATATAGTATACGTCTTGTCATTAATGCCAATCTTCGTATCATTGTGGATTATGGTATAACGTGGTGAAAGATGACCATTAGATTCACATGTTATGGCAAAATTTTGCAACTGCTTTTTCCTTAAAGTATGGGTCTTCTGTTGGATCTAGAGAAAAGAAAATAGAACAAAAATATAGTTTCCGCAATATATGGTATTAGTGATGATGGTATAAAAAATATGCAGTAGTAAACAAATGGTCACTTGCAGCATGTAACACATGCGAAACAAATAATTTACGCTCTCATTTGAATGACACGACATATACACACTTTAAAACGTACACACTACTATAGTTCAAACATACATGTCCTCATGTCCTTCCTTCTACATTTTTTAAATTTGCATATGGCGCATATGCCGCCAGTTTAAATATTTACATATACAAACATATGATATGATATGTACAACAATATACTTACAATTAAGCCTTACTATTCCCCAAGCCGACGCCGCGAAGCGCCGTGCGAAGGTACTAATTACCCCCCGGCTAATTACACCCGGGGGAACAAAAGAGGAAAAGATTATTTCGCCTGCCTCAGAGTGACAAAACGTAACAGAGCAACGGTTTTACTAACACTAACCCTACTCCAAACACCAACTCTAACCCTAATCTTTACCCTAACCCTAACCTAACCTAACCTAACCTAACCCTACTCCAAATTTGTTGCTACCAATCTTGAAGAAAATAAGTTTTTTGACGAAATGTCATTTTGAGATCAGCGAAATAGTTGATGCCAACGAAAGCATTAGCCAAGTCTAAAATTTATCAATGAGCGCGGGCGTGGGTTACCGTGAGTGGTTCGATGGGTGGTCATCCTCACTGATCTCAAAAATATTGCGGACTGTCGTGAATAGCGGACACTGATTGGTCCAATTTAAAGTTTGCATTATAACGACTGCATGACGACAGCGAAATAGCAAACATTTCTTGATTTGATGATTGTTAAATTTCTTGCAAATATATTTCATTTTTGCTCGCATTTTTGCAAGATTCTGTAAATTTCAAAAGCTTTCTCAGCTGAAAGAAAGGGCGAAAGAATCGGCTAAAAGAAGGCAGCCGACGTTAACGAAAGTAAATTTGATTTAAATATTGATTTTATTATCGCTTTAAAACCCGACGGCCTTTGACCCTTTGCGTATATGAAACAACTAAACAAGACAGCATATAATTTCAGTGTATTATTAATATTGATTCCCTTTTTTATTTTATTGAATTTTTTAAATAAAAAAGAAAGCAAAGTTATTTGCATGCGAGAATTTGAAATCATTTTATTGCAAACTCAAAGTTTATCGATAAAGCCATTTAAATTAATTAAAGAATAAAGGCAGTTTAGTTTTATAAAGAACACTTTAATTTAAAACGTTTTGCGAAGCGTTTGTGGTTGAATTTTACCTTAAATTGAAGCATACATTACGTATAATAACATACTTAAAATATATATGTTGAGAAATTGATAATTTTGTAATTAAAAGTGATATTTTTAGGCGATTTTTCATTTGTAAGAATATTCTTAAAAAATGATCGTGTTACAGTGACAACAACTTTAGATACTTCATGTTCGGAAAATACAATGGTTTTGTCAGCAAGGCGAGGGGTTTTGCATGCATGTATTTTCTAGTACTTTGACTAATATTCCTTCCATTGGAATGTGACTTTGGGCCACACATTTGTAAGTTCCAAAATCTCTTGCATCAACATTACTGAGAGTCAATGTTTGTTTTTCTTCGTGGGTGTCACATGTGCAAAGCTCTACTTGCATTTTAAAGATACATGCAGCAATAAATTGAATTGTCTTTATTGTTTTGAAAAAATGTTTTAACAGGGGATTTTAAGTCGTATTTTTCTCTTTCCTGTCATTAACGACAGGAGGTTTTCGCATCAATATTTCTAATGTAAATATCTCGGCTAGCATTTACCCCCTTTAAAACAAAACCCATCATTGAAATCCTCACAAAATAACCTTTCAAACGGGGGGTCAAGTGCTGTCGAAACATTACACAAACCGAAACAATCATAGCTTATACTCACTGCTTAGCCAAACATTCAGTATTGGATATCGAGAAAAAGTTGAGTATTTTCTAAACTTTTTGTCATTTTCTAAAAGGCTCTATGAGCAAAACACTCTTTGTATTGAAGCGCTTTCTTTAATTTTTCAAGATATCGGGTTTTTACTCGCACGCGCGTGTATTGCACAATACTTGGCCAATGAGGAGCTCCTTTAGCCGAAATGACGTCAAACTCACGTGTATAGGTGCCTTTTGACCTGTAGAATTCTGGCATTTGCAGAGCCATACGATACAAACGTGGCATTGTTTTGACAATTTTTAGTCGTATTTCCGGTTAGGATTATCTCAAGTTCGAACCAGAAATGTAAAATTTGGCACTAAAAGTCCCACTTTAAAGATAGAAGCTTGAAAATAGCATTGTACACGATATTTTAACTGCTTAATTAATCCATTAAGAATATCACAATGAGCATACGTCTGAACGGACCGAAGTTATGTTCGGCGAAAGGGACGTTTATGTTTATAATTTGTTAGTAATAATTGCGTAAGTTGATCATACACGAGCTCGCTTGACTTTCAAAGCTAATAAATCGCTATAATAGGAGATATCGTTACATTGAATCGAATGGTGATATTTTTGTCCACATAGGATTCAATGAACCAAAGATATGAAACGTCAAAGTCGTATTACACAACTGTTATTCGATAATAGGGTAATGAATATATATATATATATATATATATATATATATATATATATATATATATATATATATATACAACCAACAATGAGACGATGGATGTGGGACGCATGAATTATATATACGACAAGAACGCCATTCAACCTAATACGCATGATCTCTGCATGTCACAGATTTAAATCAGCGCAAAGGCCTATAGGCAATTGTGCCCCAAGCTCACTACCAGCAACTGCGGACAGCTGTTTCGCCCTTTTGAGGCTCGTCAGCGCAGTGTAGCTGATAGTGAGCTTTTCATCCGAAAAGTATTTATACAACCAACAATGAGACGATGGATGTGGGACGCATGAATTATATATACGACAAGAACGCCATTCAACCTAATACGCATGATCTCTGCATGGCACAGATTTAAATCAGCGCAAAGGCCTATAGGCAATTGTGCCCCATATATATATATATATATATATATATATATATATATATATATATATATATATATATATATATATATATATATATATATATATATATATATATATATTAAGATATATTATAGTATATTTTATATATAATACACCACAAATCAAATCAGTTTATTACAGATTTTTGCACTGGTGTATGATTACACAAAATTGCACTCTGATTACAGAAAATTGTACTGTGATTACAGAAAATTGCACTACTGTTTGGGATTAACTGCACTGAGATCAGCCAATCACAGTCGAGTAATGTCTTTATGTATATCATTTTCGAAGTATATGCACGGTAGGTATGTTATCTTCCATTTTGTACCCTTTGATTTACACAACGCATTGAATTAGTCCAGCATTTCTTAAATTTAGTTCCGTTGAAATCGGAGTGAAAACGTTTGATTCGTGACTGTCTGAACTATAATTGTATTAGATTCCACACATAAAACACTACATGTGAATTAAGTTGGATATCAGTTTGAAGATTGTGCATGAGCATTATTAAATAGACTATTGAATGTATTAAATACGCGAAAACGTACTGAAAAATATAACCCTATTTGTACCGGTTTTTTCATGTTGATATGACCGCGGCTGTGCGCTGATAGTGCGCACCCCTCAGAATTTCTGTCGATTAACTGCCATTATCCTATAAGTAGGGCGAAAAGTTATCCTGGCCACGGAGGGAATCGAAACCGCGAACTTTAGGATACCAGTCCTATGCTCTGCCAACTGAGCAATGAGGCCAAGTCTGTTCAAGTGTATGGTAATTCGGAACTAATTAGGTCCGGTTTAGACGCCGTGCTTTTCATGAGCCGAACTTAATCGAACTTCTGATTTTGGTTTAGACAGGCGTGCTTTTCATGAGCCGTACTTAATTGATTAGCGCTCTTTCGCTTTGAATACTGGGGCGAGTCACATGTCATAACAAGAAGAATGGCGCGAAAATTCATTTGTTATCTCACATTTATGATCTTGGCATTTCTGAGCATTTGTTTGTGGTTATATTTAGCGACTTAATCAGCTTTTTTAAAAGCTCATGCAAACAAAACATGATGCCTGGATGGAACAGAGAAACACGAGTTGATTTCCTAAGAAAGCTACCAGCAAAAAACAAAAGACGAAGAAAACTTTTGCATATTATCTTGATGGTCGCTGTTGGACTGAGCACATATAGTGGAAACTTTCCTTTCACGGCGAATACAATCATATTTTGTTTCTCTTTTACATCCGACCGAAGCAGCCATGTTGTCAAAATTTGTGAACGGGTGTACTGCGTGGTGCTAGTTTTCCCGCGCGCGGGCACGAAAACAATAGAAATAATAAAATATTTCATTATCATAATCTATGCATTTGGTACGGCTCATGTAAAGCATGGCAGTATAAATCAACATGTGCTTCAGCCGTGTAGCATGCGAACTTATTAATTTAGCCGTGCTTAATATTAAGTGCCGTGCTTAATTGATTTAGACGCCGTGCTTCTCAGGTGCTTAAATAACTCATTGTATTAAGTTCG